AAGAAGAAGAAGAAGAAGAAGAAGAAGAAGAAGAAGAAGAAGAAGAAGAAGAAGAAGAAGGAAGAAGAAGAAAAAGAAGCGGAAGAATATAACAAGGCCGAGGAGGAAGCGCGATCGATTGTGCGCTGTATTGCGCTAAAAGCTGTACTGGCTGCTATAGAAATTTGGCAAACTATAACGAATATGAAGATGTTGTTAAACGTTCGAAGAGATCCAAAACTGGATAAGATTTCTGTAAGAAGTATTTCTATCTAGAAAGCTGTGATAGTAGTCATAAAAGTGGAAATTATAAGGTGCGGAGAATTCGTTTGGCCATAGAGTTTGCAACGACGGAATGAAAATTAAGCTAGCTTGAAAATGCTCCTAGAAAATGATGCATGGAACAGGAAAGACAGCCGCAAAGTGTCAAAAGAGTTTCACATTGTATATGGCTCATGGTGCTCACGTGAAGGGTATACATGGCTCACACTGTCGGCAGAGTGTGCTCAGGAAAGTATTTTTAAGTTGTAAAGGTATGATATCGTTTGGTGTTAATTAAAAGCATAAGTGGATCAAAACCAATGAGTCCAGCAAGATCTGGCCAAACGAGTTTCCATTTCGTGGCGACGACACGTCAAAGCATCAGAGAGAACTTTGTCTACTTTCATGCCACCGTTTCTGTCGAGATTGTCATTGTAAAGTAGTCTCTGCATTCAGAGAGAGAGAAGAAAAATTAGTCCTGTATAAACTTTGCTCTGGCGAGTGCCGTTTTACACCAAGCTTGTGTTTGACATTTTAGCTGATCGTATACGAATTGGGCATTTTCAATGTGAAACAACCTCTTCGCCTAAGACCAGGCTTGATCTGCTTAGTTCAGATAAATGCTCAGAGAGTGTTGTCGTTATTCAAGATATAAAAAGTTTCAGTTGAGCTTGAATATTTAACGTCTATGAAACCTCTTTTGAATGAGAGTCACACAATCTATCACTTCCACCCTATCATTAGTCCATGCCATAGAGTTTGTATACACAAAGCCTCACTAAGAGGAGAAATCGTCCATCGACTCGACACACTCCTGCTAGTATCAAAATCCGTGCTTCGTTTTAAGCTAGTGAATAAATAAAGGGACACAAACTACGACTGACAATAACCGTGGTTGACTTTGGGAACGCATATGACAACAGCAGGAAGAGGGGGCTTCTTTGGACGCCTAATGAACAAGGAGCCAAAACAAAATCTAACACGCTTTTAGAGTAAACATTATCTATTGGAAGTAATCAGGACTATTTTCCAAAATCAGTGTAGCGGGAAATAAGGAAGCGTTGCTCAAACTTTTCATGGCAACAGAGGACGGAGCTAGAAAGACTCGTCTTGAGACAGGGAATGAAACATCGATGAAGTATTACTGTTTTGCGCACTAGTTCGTCTAGCTGGAAAAAACCGAATTATGCGGACCAACTACTTCAACGACTGGAGTAGAAAAGATCGATAACTCGTCTGAAGATAAAGAAATTTGGAGCTAACTGGAAAAGAACGGAACTAACTTCAATTCATTGTGAGCTGCTACTAAACAATGAAAATGAAAACCTGGTGTGCAGAACTGGTTGCCATGGGCTGATGTTGGTAGGAAATTTTGTTCAGAATGCTTTACAGGTGCACAATGCAAAAACATTTTCTAGCAATACGATTCTACCAGTCTCATTGCTTTGTTGTTCAATATGAAGTTTGACAAAAAAAAAACTCGGAATAAAAGTAGCTAAGGGTCTTGAGAGTAGAGACAAGTAAAGGAAAGACTTTGCCATTGTTTCGATTTCAGACAGACAGTTGAAGAATGAACGGAAACCAAGCGGTTGATCTTGTGACGGAGAATGAGAATGGAACAATGGGATGAGCCGGATGTGAAAGAATAGGTGGGGTTATCCAATTTTCAATTGGTATTCATGAAAACTTTATGAGATATCCTGGTTGTCCATAGAAGCAGCAAGAAAAAGCAAATGGAACCGTGGCGGATTCTGAATGATGAAGATGCTATGCATAAAGCAAACGCGATCGAAAAGATGATGGAAATGTAACTAATGCGAAAAATCAAGATCAGAGCGATCAGCAAAATCACCAAGGTGATGCGAATTTAGAAATGTACTAGCGAGTAATAAGCATGTTCCTCACTTCATCGTTGGCCACAGGATCGTAGACATGTTCAGGATCCTCAGCAACATCGTCATAGATAACTTCGTGGCTGGAGTCGATCTAAAACCGACTTAGGCTTCAATAAACTTTTGAACTTGCCTCGAATATATTGAAAGCAGTTATTATATTATGAGACAGTCAACGTACAAAGAAGGAAAGCTGTTCTGGTTTTATGTGGTCATAATTCGTTGTTTCAAGAATCTTAAGGCAAATTACTTTAAGCAAACAGGAAGAATAATGTTGCATGAGTGGCTATAACGTCGCCGGACCAGATATTCATTTATCTGCAGCTCATTTTTTCCAAACAGTTTTGTTTCTCATGAGATTCCAATCTACAAATTGCCTTACTACCCAAATTGATCGAGAAGCAGGGGATCTCGACACACTGCCCACTCTTTCACTCTGAAGGCTGCAAGGTTATCCTGAAATGACGCGAAACCAAACACACCGGAGGCGTACTGAAGTGGTCCATCTTTGTTTGTTCCTTCAAAGCGACGTAGATGGAGGGGGCGCCATGTGGGAGTGATTCAACGTCTTCGTGGTTGTTACTCGCACTTCCTTCTTCATTCCAGAGGTATTGTGGTGGAACGTACTTAACATCAGTTCGGGATGCGCCACCAAAGGAAGACATGGTTGCAAATTCATTAATGAGATTTTACCTAATATTCTATCAAAGCTAAATTAAATGACTAGGAAATACTCTAGATTCAGTAGGGCGCGTGTGGCGCAGTGGTCGGAGGCGTCCTGCAACACACGTGGAATCGATGCCCGCGACAATGGCCCACCAAGCCTTCCATCCCTCAGGGTTCGAAAAATTGGTACCAGACTTGTCTGGGAGGAGAACAGCACTGGCTCGATACATCGGTAGGCCACTGCGAGTCATTGTAAAGGTCAGATATGCATTCATTCACCTCCAACGATGCATAATGAAGTCGAATGCATGTCGTATCCCTCGGGGATTGATCAACACTGAGAGCTTTACCCTTTTTAAATTAAATGAAACGAAGCATTGAGTAACAAAGAAGCGAAGCAATGGGATGTTTCAGGGTTAGTTAAAGAATAGCTCCAGTTTTCTCCTCTTCTCTTCTTGTTCATACACTATATTTCCATTCTTAGCAAGGCTGCATTTCCTTAACAAGGGCTCCTTTCTCTACAATGTGTACTGCGAAACCTATCTATTGAGGTGTTAATGTCAGCATTAGTTAAAAAAAAATTAGTGAAGAGGTCAATACTTACAACAGCTGAATAAAATTGGTTTTTCTCATTGGATTTTGTCCATTGTCGATTCTTTTAGCTTTCTTAGGGATGTGCGCAACGTATTGGTTAGAGGTGTTCTACAATGCGTACGAGGTCATGGGTTCGATCTTATGCCCCAAGGAAGCCAAGCCTTTATTACGCTGAGTGGAGAAACTATTACAAGACTTCTCTAGGTAAACAATAACATTGATGTGTTGCATCGGTAGACTTAACAACTAATTGTGAAGCCAAATATGTATTGAGTAGTCTCTGCGAAGCTTAATGGAGTCGAATTCATTAGTATCACTGAAGGATAAATGGCGCTAGCACGTTACCTTTTTACATTTCAAATTCAAATATGAGTTCAATCACGTCTTATTTAATTTGCCAAATATGTTTGTAGCAGTACTTTTATGGTTTAGGGATTTTTAATTCCAACTCTGGATTAACAGAAAAAACTACCTCGGCTGGTACAAGCGTCGCTTCCGAGTTGAATGAGTTTGTAGCGCGAATTGTTTCGCTATCAGAGAGCTCACTGCTGCTGTTCTCGATCTTGTCTTCGAGGAAAGTTTCTGACTTTTCCAAAACGTTATCAACCTTCGAAGTCGCCAAATATTCACCGTCCATTGCTCGATTCATTGTTGCAAATCTTTCTTCGGCGGACGATCGTTTATACTCGGTTGCACCTATTCCCATCTTTCGCAATCCATCTTCTTTTTTTCGGTCTTCGTACTCCAGATGAGAGTTTGTCTGAACATTTTAAACACTAGCCATAGAATATTACATATAATATTTTAAGGAACCTCTTGCTTTTTTCACTACTAAAAACTCTACTTCTAACACTTTTTAAGTAGAAAATCAACCATTTCATGCCTTATGCCCAGAATCATGATAAAAGATAAAACATTCAAAGAATCACAATATCGTCACTTTTGTTTACTGCCTATTCTTTTTATGACAAGAAATGATGTAAAATATAGCTGCAATGATATTGAGATATTTGCAAAACTCCGGAACGCAGGTATTTGCGATGGAGATTGAACACGCTATTACCCTTTCCGGAGGCTAACGCATTCACCACCACACAATGGTGACCCTTTGTTTCACTTTTATCTCATCCGTGTTTTAACCTATAGTTGCTATCGGCAAACACCCGCCAACGGCATTGATCTGGGGAGCACAAGGTCACAAAGCACAAAGGTTCCGCAAGATTTGGTGGAACCCGCGTTAGCCCTCGGAAAGGGTAATAGTGTGTTCGATTCTCACAGGAAACACATGCAATCCGGAGTTTTGCAAATATCTCGGCACCATTGCGGTTATAAAGGACTTAGTTATTCGAAATTACCTCATTTTTATAGAACTCATTGGCAGAGGGTTTGCTTGCCAGACCGTGGTGATTCGTTAAGTAGATATCCAAACTGACGTTGCTAGGTGATCTTGTCTCCGTAGTTTTGCTGTTGCGCTCAAGGAAATTTTCAATAGTGGAGTATCTCGAAGAAGTCGTGCTTTCTATACTTTCTTCCAACCAAGGTCGTTGAACTGTCTGCTGCACATTCTCCTCATGTACCAGAGACGAATTGACTTTATGTAGACTATCGTCGAATTCCCGTATCAGATCGCGGTTGCCTTTGAACAAGAGTGAGTTTTGACGACGAATATTATGGTATTCCGAGTAATTAGGAAAAGTTCTTGATTCTTCGTGAATCTTATCATAGGCCGATATGTTTTGGCTAAAAGTATTGGTGGAAGAGATACTGGGATAGTTGAAACTTCGTTGGTGAAAAGCAACTCGATCGTAGTTGTGGCTCCAATCCTGGGAACCATTGCTGTCAAATCTACCATGATTAATAGCGGATGGATAAGAAGATTGACGAGATGAGAATGTTCCTTCCATAGTTGCTGAAAATTCAGGATTTGGCCCTTGAAGAAATTTTACGTCATCCTGGTACGGATCACTGGGCAAGGTGCTTTTCATCACGCTTTCTCTATGGCTCATTTCTCTAGTCAAGTCCAACTCGCCGTGGGAAACGGCGCCACTGATCGTTGGTGAGTGATGTAAATGTCGTTGCCATTCAGACAGATCATGAGCTGATCTGCTCAGCGACGACTTAAAGAATTTTCGACTATAACCTTCCACATAATCATAGAGGAAGTGATACGGTGACGGATACGGTGACTGGTAGAGTAGATCAATGTGAGGTTCTCGACCGAAGAAGCGATCAACGTCGACTGCGGCTTGGAACGACAGATCTCGAATGCCCTCAAAACCGTAGAGATGCTCACCCATTCGGCAAATCGCTCCCCTCTGTGAAATTTCGTTTGAAACCTGAAAAAAACAGTATATAATCTTCACTGCGATTGTACAAGTACATTAACACTATAGCATTATCAGCATTCATATAAGTATTGTGCCCTTCAAAGACTAGTCAGCCGATTTTCCGACACAATCTGGGTCTAACCGAGTTCTACGGCCTTGATAAAGCCAATAAAACTTGGGAAAACTTGAGGAGAACTTGCCTGCATCTGAACATCTTCCTCATGTTCCCAACTTATTTTTGTAGCTGGGAGTTCGTTGCTGAGATTTTTGCATTCTGCCATATCTTTCGCTATTAAATCTAGTAGACTGATCTCGTCTACTGTTTCAGTATATTCGATTTTGGTGACGATGCCGCTAAGAAAAAAGTATAATAAAGGAAAGAACAGCTGCTAAGCATTCAAAACTCTGTTGCATTTGACATTGTCGACTTAAGACTTACTCAGTGCTGTCTGACATTCTCATCTTGGGCTCACTGCGTTCCTGCCTTTCCAGAGAAGACAGTGTTTGCTTCTGCACATTGATATTATATTAATCAAATGTATAGGGTTGTTAGAGTGAAGATATATTAATAGTTATTGTAAAAATGAACATAGCGAACCGATCGATGATAGCGCTGCTCCATAAATATTCTTGTCAAAATCCTGCTTTTTGGTACATCCGTAACGCCAAACTGGAACATTCACAAACTTCTCTGTTATCATTAACATGTGGTTTGCATTGAATTGTTTTTTAATTTGTTTTGTAATTGTCATTATAGGCACCGCTGAACGGAACTGTGATAAACCGACAGTGATAGAAAACAGGGATGGATGTGCAACGAAAGAACATATTTCTCAACGCGTAGTGACCGTGGTGAAACACATCTTCAACAAACCCAGAAATGAAGCCGCCAAATTCGTGGTAACTCTGCGGTCAGGACGAAGGCAAACTGTAGAGTGAAGGGTGAATGATAAAAAGCTATAAAGCATTCGACGTAGATCAATGAGGGATAGGCCATGCATTTGACTTCATCAAGCATCGTTAGAGGTGATTCAATAGCCAATTGGTCTATTGGCGGTGAGACAACCGGTGCGAGGCCAAAAAATCTTGTGCTACGCAGTACGTCATTGGAACCGGATCTGACGAACACACGCACGACACGCTGCTGATTGGGGTTTTTCCTTTCATCATGAGTGTCGGCGAAGGATAGTCGTGTCGATTATCCCTGGAGTCAAAGATAGTCTATCTAGAGCGTTCCCACATGGATTGCGGGAGTCAACTTTTTCCAGACCAGTCCGGTACCAATTTTCCAGCCCCAGAGGGATGAGGCTCAGTTAGCCCGTAGCGGGGTCGGGCCAGCAGCCCTCTCGTGATGATTGGAATCACTACTACCGTGGTGCTCACCCTGTCGATAAGAATCACACGACGATATTGAGTTTATCTATTAATATACCGTGAAAGGTAAAAGGACAGAGGTTTCGGCGTGGCTCATTCTTTGAGCAATGCGCCATGCATTTCACTTCATCAAGCCAAGACCTATGAGTACATCTGGAACTAAGGATAATGGCACGATATTCGCGATATTGAGAATTGATACCAATGCGTACGTTGCCAAAAATTACTGCGTCTTTCAGCTTTAAGCCTGCAGACTTTTGCTAACATAGAGGAAGCCTTCTTTGTCTTCCACGATTAACTTCTGTTCTAATGAAGCTGGTAAAAAGCATGCTTTGACTGCTTTTTATTTGTGGTTCGTGTATTTCGAACAATGAAGCGATAGAATTGCGATATTTATTCAAGGGAGACTCGATGTTGACCTCGAACCCATTTATATGTTTTTAACCTCACAACAGAAAGTAGGGAATTTATGGACATTTTTTACGGTAACAGTTGAGGTCCTTCTTATGTGACCTCTAAACAGAAGTTCTCGGCTGACAATCTGACGAATTCTTTCATGGGATAAGCAATCAAAGCTGGAGGTAAGAAAATCGCTTAGACGTTGTTTGCAATTGGTCATGAATACAACAAGAAGCTGTGTATTCTTCTCCTGAAGACTGTTGAAAAACAAACAGCTTGTTGAAATAGCGTATTAGATTATGGTTAAAGATTAAGAATGAAGACTGTTGAATACGTTATGAGCTACTACGCTACATAAACGAGCTACTGAGTTAGGTGTAAGATTTTTCGTTTATATGATCCGGCAACAAAAATGGTGCTGATCCCAGCACACCCTGCATTCTGTTCGTTTCTCCGCAATCGCCGTCCGCAGTGGCCTTAAGATTTGCGTCTGCTAGATTAGGATGTTTACTTCTCCGAATGTCGTTGAATATCGGTCAAATTGATTCGTCCTCGAATTATGAAATCACCACGCTAACCGCTGCCCGATCGTCGTCATAGATATCTGCTTGCCATTTTACATAGAAACACTCTTCCGAAATACACTTTTCCGAAACAGCTCTAATGCCCGGATGAGGCAAGCGGATTCTTCGTGACAGAAGCTAATCAAGAAATATCAAGGAATGTAAAGCGCATCTATAACCACAGGTTTAATTACCCAAGTTTGAGAAAGACTAAGCAAAGGATTCGTCGCCGAGAACTCAACTCGCTCTGATCCACATCGTGGTAAGGACCTGGATACGCCCTTGCAAGGTTACGTCAGAACTTCAAAGAAGACCAAGTTGCACGACCAGCAATAGGCCAGCCTCAGCACCCTGCACACTGGTTGCTCCCGTCTATGACGTCAGGCGGTGGGACGACCGGTGAGAGGCCAGAAAATTTCGGATTACGCAGGCCATCATTGGAACCGGATCTGACGAACACACGCACGACACGCCATGGAGATTGTTTCTTACTATGCACGTATAACGCCAGATTTCTTCACAGACGCAGATCTTCACGCCCTCACTGTAGCTGCAGATCGCATTAAATTTTATGTGATCGCATTACAAGAAACAAAAATCAAGAAGACCGACATCTAAACAATGGGATCCTTGTGATCCGTGGAGAAAAGTCTCGTCACGAAATGTCGGTGGCGTAGGCTTTGTCGTCCAGCTGTTCATTGTTCATTTCGTCGACTCATACGTGATCCTTTTCCTTCGCAAAGCCGTCCTCCGTCTTCAACTGTCGCATCATAAGAAGATCACTATCAACTGCTACTCGCCGACCGACGTAGCTGATGGAAACGAATTAAATGCGTTCCACTATCAGTTGGAGGCTGTCATCCGCAATGATAAAGCATAACATAAATTTGTTGTTGGAGATTTCAACACCAGAATAGGAAGCGGCAGGGTGACACAATATCGCCAAAGATGTTCAGTGCCTCTCTGAAGTGGATAATAAAGTCACTCGATCGGGATGAGAAAGGCATACGTATTGATAGAAAATTCTTAACAAACCTTCGTTTTGCCGACGACATTGTCATCTCCTCAAGAGGTACTATCGAAGCAGAAGTGATGATCAACGAGCTCAATGAAGCGGGAAAAAAGATCGGACTTCGCATAAATCGATAGAAGACCCAGTTCTTAATAAACCCATGGTGCGAAGGCGAAAAAATTGAATTGGATGGATCTCTCATTGCAGAGACCACCTCTTACGTTTACCTTGGGCTATCAATGAATATGGAAAACAACATGAACGAGGAACTAGATAGAAGAAGGAAAGCAGCTTGGGCCGCATTCGTGCCTCTCAGAGAAGCCACCGACCAACTGAAGGACCCGAAAGTCCTCGCTCATTTCTTTGATTCTACAGTCCTCCCAGCTTTCTGTTATGCTGCAGAGATGTGTGTTGACACTTCAACTACACCAAGAATGCTTCGAACTACTTACAGAACACTTGAGCGATGTCTTCTGAGATATAGCCGGCACTCTCAATATGTAGCCGGAATGTGAAGCTCTGACCTTCGAAATCTGTCACATCTTCGAGATCCAGGAGAATATGCATCGACAGCGAAACATAAATGGGCCGGTCACATAATGAGAAGAGCCGACGACAGATGGACGGAAAGAACAGTAGAGTGGACTCCGGGAGAATACAAACGTCCTCATGGACGAGCACCTACACTTTGGACGTATGTGCTCGTAAACAAAGTTAATCAGCTGTACCCGCAGCCTCAGTTGTTTTACATACCACTGTATGAGAGTCGCAAGCGATGCCATGCTCGAACAAGACCACCACTATGAACTACGATTACGAGAGGAAGAAACGAATGGCATATGTGCTGGGGTCCGCACAAGTTGTGAAGACGGACCGTCCAGGTATCCAAGTAAGTAAGTGTATGGAGTTTCCTCATTTCAGACTTGGTAGAAAAATCTTTCTTTCAAACTTTTCCTTTAATTTTTCCAGAATTTAGGAACAATTATTGTACATGAAGAAAAGCTTGTGTGCTGTTGCTCTACGTAGTCTACAAATTGATGCAATGACTCCTTTTGTAAATTTTGTGTAGGAGACATATTAGGAGAGATGCTCGTAGTGCAATCTCGATAACCGACATAAAAACACAAATTCCTTCCTCGGTCTCCGTCAGAAATGCGAATGGGGAAAAGCGCAAACATTCCAGAGCTGCTGATAACAACGTCGTAAACTTGAACACTGACGCATCTAGACTTTAAGCGATCAAATTCTGCTCACTAAAGAATCGTAAGCAGCGCGACTCGGTGGAAGAATTCAGGGATTCCGTATGCGCAACGCCATGAGTTCAGGCTATGTTTAGCTGCATTTGTCTGAAGATTGTGCTCCCCATCATTGGTTAGGACGACGACGACAGAAATGTATGTATCGGTGACCTAGGACTGCGCTACATTCCTATGCAGTACTAGACTGAGTAAAATGTACAGTCTAAAGCTGTCGTCTGTCCTACTTCTATACGTAATGAGTGCCTCCAATGACACAGTACAGCACCGCAGTTTAGACTTTAGAACAATTAAAACCTTCGTTAGCCTTGTGAGCAGTACTCAGTATGTTTCGAAAACGCTGAACTTCATTTCGCGAAGAACTCACCCCATTATAGTATCGGATTCTTCTAGAGAGAATAACACCGTAGAGGTATCGTCTAACAAAGATGTCCTCCTGAGGGCGAAGCACCAACTGAATCAGAAGGCTAAAAACAACAAGGACAAAAAGCAAATGATCTGGGTAAGACGACCTTTTCGTGTTCCCAAGCTTTTTGCTGAATGGAAATGCAGCATTTCTTCGCTTGTAGAATTGCAGCGATCAGGTCTTCTTTTGCCTCTTCCATTGGCTAAAAGAACATTGTAAAAGCAAGCTTGGGTTTTTTAAGAACTGACCAAACAAGTTATAGTATAACAAAAAGAGTCCTCTTTAGAATTACTGAACCAAACAAGCAAATAGTTGGTGTGGAAAATGTTACAGAATAGGGATTATTTATTTGACAAATGAAAAACGAAGCGCGACACTTGTTTCAGCATCCTGGATTTCACTGAGATTCACAGAGGGCTACGGAATAGACCATATTACAGCGTTTACTTTTATCCCAATAGATAATTATAAGAAAAGATTGTGTTAATTACATATTTATTGACATTGTTCATTAACTGCAATGGCTACCTTCACTATCTACCGCCGTATACTAACAAAGAAATGGTTCTGGAAGGAGAAATATGATCTACTGTGAAAGCTGAAGACTGGAAGCTTGTTCTTCCATAATGAGCGACTATGAAACAGAAGGGAGAGCCAAGCGTGAATGAAACTTTCACGATTTTTTCGTTCATCTGGTAGATCAGAGTTTTTTTTTACAATTGCCCAATCTACACTGTCCACCAATAACAAATGATAACTCAGTCGGTGACCACGCCCAGCAGTTCAGGAATTCCGAGGAAACTATACAACAGAAATATCGTTGCTGGTCGCCCTTTGAGGCTGACAGTATTAGTAATTGACATAATTGAGAGGTAAATTCTGAATTCTCGATGACAATGAAGTTATACTGTAAATAAGACCAAAATTAGAGGAAACGACCAAATACATAATAGGGAGGATTCTTGCTAACAAATCGTCTGGCCGGACGTACGCCATCGTGAGGTTTCGGTGGTGAAGATGGCGGCGTCAGTGTGCTTGTTATCAGCCGTTAGTTTGTTTTATCGCCGATTCTACAAGTGCTAGAACTCTTCTACTAGATTTCCGATATTAGGTGGTATAAAAATAGGTATATAGCAATTTTGGGACCATGTTAAGACCTACTAAACATCGTTTGGTTTCATGCTACTTTCAAGTCGCACTATAATGGCCAGTCATGGTATATAAGTATAGCTAGTCGTATAGGTGATTTATCACCAACAGTGTGGGAGTTAAGTTGAGAAGAAGCAGAAATTTTTGCGCAAATGCTAATGAGAAGGAAAGCATGTTTAAGTATTCCAGAGAATCACAGCTTTCGGAAAACAACGTCTGGAAAAAGTACAGATGGAATTGATTCCGATTTTTCTTTGTTAAACGAATTGTTTTGACAAGCAGTCGTAAAACATCAGTGTAACCGATGTGTAAGCAATCCACAATGGATTCACTGATAGTCGTTCCAGTCCTATAGAAATCGCAAACTGTTCCGGAAATCTCTATTGGATTTGCGGGAAATAAACAAAATGGTGGCCTCTTCCATTTGAACAATTGTCCTATTGAACCCTTGAATCCTCACAATTCTTACTGCAATGAGAAACGGCAATGAATATGAAGCGTGATTAATTTCCCTGCAGGGAGAGTAAAAATGATATGAAGAGAAGATTTCATTCTTTTTCATACTCTAACGCAATCTTACTTAATCTTTCAGGTTGGTCCAGCAGAACACAGAAAAAGTTTCACGCGAAACACGATAAGAAGAAGAAGTAATCGTTCATAGCAAAGATTCTTCTATTAAACTAGATCTCTGTTTATTGGCGTAAGCTTAATGTCTGCGGACCTCCCTCACATGAAATATCTTGAGCCGGCTAGTTACGAGGCTACGTGGCGCGCCCCCAAGTGGCCGACTGGAGATTAATCGCGTACCAAAAGCGACTTTTGCTTCCCTGAGATGCAGGTGGCTCCAAGTGATAGACTCCCTGTTTTTGCTGCGTCCATTTGGCACATGCCTTCTATACTCATGGGGACGTACTTATGCAGGAGCGCGCTGGTGTATTCTCGTTTATGTGGATTGTATTCTACGTGTCAACTCGACCAAAAGCTTGTAATCAACTAACAGGGAAGTACGTGTAAGGCGATTATCACGTCCAACAAATAAGCTCGACGTTTACTCTGGGAGAGAATGCTAAGCTACTCATGAGTATACGCAGCCCCCACGTTCAGAGCTCGGTACGCTATAAATGGTTACCAAGAGGGTAAACACGCTAAAATAAATGAGCATCATTCCCCTGACTCGAAGTCAAGAAGCCCCGATTCGGCAATGTTGGGTGGGACCGGTACGGAGAAGCTGCTGAAATTTCAGTGATATTCTAAGCTGCCTAAACCGCAAAGAACTAACGTGACGATTTGTACCTACAATGCAAGCACACTTGCAACAGAGCCCTCGATAGAAGACTTGCTGACGCAAGCAAGAAGGATAAGGTACGACGTCATCAGACTGGCCGAGATGAAATAACGTCACCCATTAAAGGCCGTTTATGTCACCGGAGAGGAACTGTGCCTCAGAACACGCGATAATACAGGAGTCGAGGGCGTTGGCGCTCTCGTCAGCATAAGTTTGGCCATGAACATCGATACATTCAACCAATTAGCAACCCGAATAGGACGTATGCGATTAGAAAAATGTGGCGCAATACCGGCCTCAGCAGTCTTCGTCGTTTAGGCGTCGACATCAAGCTATGACGAAGAAGTTCTGTATGAAGTTGGAGAAGTTTTACGGAGAAGAGTATGCATTCTTCAATTTCATCATTGAAGATCTTAGCGCTAAGATTGGAGCCAGAAGAAGGTTCGAAAAACGTCACATTTGGACCCACGGATTAGAATGGAACGAGCGTCGGAGTTTATAATGACGAACAAGACCATTCATGGTGGGGTAACCCGCAATTCCAGAAGCCCCACCCTCAACGCTAGACGTCTCCCAATGGAGAGCACTTGCACTTGCTTGCACTTGGATACTTGGATACTTGGACGGTCCATCTTCACGGGCTGTGCGGACCCCAGCACATATGCCATTCGTTCCTTTCTCTCGCTATCGTAGTCCATGGTGGTGGTCTTGTTCGAGCATGGTAGCGCGTGCGAGTCTCATACCGAGAGCACCATTACGAAATAGACCATATCATAGCAAATCGAAGCTTTTACCTAGCCAATGTCGCTGTTGTTTCGAATTTTATCGATTTAAAGAAAACTTTTGACTCATTTGAGATAGAAGCAGTCATGGAAGCCTTGGACATTCAGGAAATCCCTGCTCAGTACATAAAGATTCTTCGTGAGCTGGACAAAAATTCCACAACCAGATATCAACATTATACAGCAATCTAACGTCGATGTCGAAAGAGAAGTTAGGCAAGACGATAGCGTCTCGTCAAAATTATTCACCGCCACCTTCGAGAACGTCATGCGAACACTGAAATACCTTCACTTTATTGACGACATCGTTTTTTTTGACACCAAATATGAACCAGGCTGAACGAATGCGTGCCGATTTTGACGAAGCTTGCTGAAAAGTCGGTCTTTGACTAAATTTCACAGAAATGGTATTCATGGGGAACGGATTTGTTACGCATGCCCCATTCATGCTCGGCGGAATTAATATCTCCGGATGGTCCAGTTACGTGTATCCTGGTAAGGAAACCAGCATAATGAACAATTTAGCTTTAGAGTTGAGCAGCAGGAAACGAGTGGCTTAGGCACATTTCATGAGAGGAGTGAACAGAACAAAGAACTCCCAACTACGTGCCCACCTTTTCGAATCCGTGATATCTCCTTTCTTATCGTATGCGTCAGAAATTTGGTTGTTACATATTCAGGTTGAAGGATCACTCAGCATTGTAGGACGCGCAGTCGAAAGGATGACGCTTGGAGTATCCCATGTCACAAAAGTACTCATACAGTACAGTAAAGTACAGTGACTAGATTCCTTGGGTTGTCAAGCGACCAGCAGGAAGGCCACCAACGCAATGGTAACAGCTCTTCACGAAAATCCTAGAAAAAAGGTGTGATGCTCAAAGACTTCGTGAAGCGAACGGAACTCACTGGGCTATTCTTGCAGGCGACAGGAAAAGTGAAAGATTTACTGGCGCCCGCTCGAGTCACTCGACGATCAGCAGAGAACAGGTGAAGGTATTGAGGTGATGCTTAAAATTAGACCTAGAAATAGGCTCTGGCCTTGGTCTATGTTTAATCTTAAGCTTAAGCGTGGTCTTAGGGTTAGGCCTTTGCATAACTTTCAGCGATATCTAGTAACGATGGCACGATTGTATGAGAATCACATTTGTTTACAACTTTAAAGCAAACACAATTAAAAATGGAGGTAAGCACATTTTCTGCTCCTTTTTCTTTCTCAAGTTCTTTTTTTTTCTCTTCTTTACTTGATTTATCCAGTCAACGTCAACTGGTCAATCCAGCAACGGCTCCAGATCCTGATTTTTTTTTTGAAATTATTATATTTGAAGTGCTATCTTCTCGATCTAGAGACTACGTTGCTAAATGCATAGTAGGCAGTATGCATGGTTTGGTGAGACAAATTAGCAAAAGCAGGCAGTATTAACCGCTACTATTAGACGATTTCATTCCATATTTCATCACTCCTGAACATATACTAAAAGGGTGCGCGTGGCGCAGTGGTCGGAGGCGCCCTGCAACACGCACGTGGAATCGGTCGCTGCGCCCATGGCTCACCAAGCCGTCCATCCCTCCAAGGTCGGTAAATTGGTGGCAGACTTATCTGAAAGGATAGCAGCACTGGCTCGATACATCGGTAGGCCACCAAGAGTCACTGCAAAGGCCAGACATGCATTCAACCGCATCCCACGATGTTTAATGAAGTCGAATGCATGTCGTATCCCTCAGGGATCGATCAACACCTAGAGCTTTATCCTTTTATCCTTCATTAAGCGATTGCACACTTTTACACATGATCAGAAAGCTTTTAGAAATAGTTGGTAATAGAAGCGAATCCAAATCTATATTGGGACTCAGGTTGAAGAATAAAGGTTTTCGTCGTTGATCAGAGGAAGATGCGCTGTGCATCCGTCTTCAATAGGCATCGTGGGGATGGTTGATTGCACATTTTTCATCCACAGTAGATTTTGCGAGACAGATGCGTTTCAA